AACTGGCTCCATGAACCCAGCTAAACACAAATACATAACTGGCGTCATGAACCCAGTCTAAACACAAGTACAAACCTGGCTCCTTGAACCCAGCTAAACAGGAGTACATATCTGGCTCCATGAACCCAGCTAAACAGGAGTACATACCTGGCTCCTTGAACCCAGCTAAACAGGAGTAAATACCTGGCTCCTTGAACCCAGCTATACAGGAGTACATAGCTGGCTCCTTGAACCCGGTTAAAATAAGTACATTACTGGCTCCATGAACCCAGCTAAACAGAAGTACATAACTAGCTCCAGAAACCCAGCTAAACAGAAGTACATAACTGGCTTCATGAACCCAGCTAAATAGAAGTACATAACTGGCTCCATGAACCCAGCTAAACAGGAGTACATAGCTGGCTCCTTGAACCCAGGCTAAACAAAAATATATGGCTGGCTCCATGAACCCAGCTAAACAGGTGTTCATACCTGGCTCTTTGAACCCGGCTAAACAAAAGTACATGCATGGCTCCAGAAACCCAGCTAAACAGGAGTACATAATCTGGCTCCATGAACCCAGCTAAACAGGAGTACATAACTGGCTCCTGAACCCAGCTAAACAGGAGTACATACTTGGCTCTTTGAAACCAGCTAAACAAAAGTACATACCTGGCTCCATGAACCCAGCTAAACAGAAGTACATACCTGGCTCCTTAAACCTAGCTATACAGTAGTACATAACTGGCTCCTTGGACCCAGCTAAACAGGAGTACATACCTGGCTCCTTGAACCCAGCTAAACAGAAGTACATAACTGGCTCCTTGAACCCAGCTAAACAGAAGTGCATACCTGGCTCAGGGAACCCAGCAAAACAGAAGTACATACCTGGCTCCATGTACCCAGCTAAACAGGAGTACATACCTGGCTCCATGTACCCAGCTAAACAGGAGTACATACCTGGCTCCATGTACCCAGCTAAACAGGAGTACATACCTGGCTCCTTGAACCCAGCTATACAGTAGTACATACCTGGCTCAATGAACCCAGCTAAACAATAGTACATATTTGGCTCCATGTACCCAGCTAAACAGAAGTACATAACTGGCTCCTTGAACCCAGTTAAACCGGAGTACATAACTGGCTCCTTGAACCCAGTTAAACCGGAGTACATACCTGGCTCCTTCAACCCAGCTAAACAGAATTACATAACTGGCTCCTTGAACCCAGCTATACAGTAGTACATAACTGGCTCCTTGAACCCAGCTATACAGTAGTACATAACTGGCTCCTTGGACCCAGCTAAACAGGAGTACATAGCTGGCTACTTGAACCCAGCTAAACAGGAGTACATACTTGGCTCTTTGAACCCAGCTAAACAAAAGTACATACTTGGCTCCATGAACCCAGCTAAACAGAAGTACATGCCTGGCTCCATGAACCCAGCTAAACAGGAGTACATACCTGGCTCTGTGAACCCAGCTAAACATGAGTGCATACCTGGCTCTGTGAATCCAGCTAAACAGAAGTACATAGCTGGCTCCTTGAACCCGGCTAAACAAAAGTACATAACTGGCTCCATGAACCCAGCTAAACAGAAGTACATAACTAGCTCCAGAAACCCAGCTAAACAGAAGTACATAACTAGCTCCAGAAACCCAGCTAAACAGAAGTACATAACTGGCTCCATGAACCCAGCTAAACACAAATACATAACTGGCGTCATGAACCCAGCTAAACAGGAGTACAAACCTGGCCCCTTGAACCCAGCTAAACAGGAGTACATATCTGGCTCCATGAACCCAGCTAAACAGGAGTACATACCTGGCTCCTTGAACCCAGCTAAACAGGAGTACATACCTGGCTCCTTGAACCCAGCTAAACAGAAGTACAAACCTGGCTCCTTGAACCCAGCTAAACAGGAGAGTATGTATCTGGCGCCATGAACCCAGCTAAACAGGAGAGTATGTATCTGGCTCCATGAACCCAGCTAAACAGGAGTACATACCTGGCTCCTTGAACCCAGCTAAACAGGAGTACTTACCTGGCTCCATGAACCCAGCTAAACAGAAATACAAACCTGGTTCCTTGAACCCAGCTAAACAGGAGAGTATGTATCTGGCTCCATGAACCCAGCTAAACAGGAGAACATACCTGACTCCTT